ATTATTTCTCATTTCATTCTTTCCAGATCCTCTTTTGTTGCCAGTTCCAGGAGTCCAGGTGGTTGAGTATCAGAGTATTCCATCTCATTTCCCTTTGGGTTTGCTATAGGTGATCTGGAAGTTTGCTTTTGAGATTTGTTTATGTGTCTTCTCATTTCGATGGAGGGGGGATTCTATTGGTGCCTGCATGGCTCACCTCCTCTGGGCTGGAAGTGGTGGAACAGTGGCCCAGAAGTGCCTTCCTCTGGGCTCAAGACTTTATAATTCTTTATCAATATACATAGTCAGCCTAACTTGGAGAACAGTTCATTCATTTCCTTCCCATTTCTCTGGCATAAAATCCTCTTATTTCTCCCTAATGTTTCCTCATGTATATTCACAGCTGATTGCTGTCTCTAACTGAGTTGGGACATCTTGAAGACAGGATGTTCCACCAGCTCAAGAAAGAACTAAAGCAAATAATCTCTAAGTTCTTTCATGAAGAGTTCAATATCTTTGATGAACATAGATGTAAATTCCTTAATAAGACACTTGAAAATAAAATTCAATGAATCATTAAAAAGATCATTTACCATAATGAAGTAGGCCTTATCCTGAGGATGCAAGCAAATTACAAAATATATAAATCTAATATACTACATAAATACAATTAAATATAAAATCATATAATCATCTCAATAGATTTTTTTAAAGTTTTAGCCAAATTCAGCATCCCTTTATGAGAAAAATAACCCTGATGAGAGTAGGAATAGAAAGACTTTGCCACAAACTAAAAACGTTCTACACAACAAGCCCACAGTCAACTGTCTTAGTCATTTTCTCATCACTGGGACACCATACCCAACACCCACAGTTAAAGAAGAAGAGGTTCATTTTGGTTCACGTTTTTAGTCCTTAGCTGGCTGGCTCCAGTGCATGAGAGCATGGTAGAAAGGGATAATGGAGGAAAAGCTGCCCATATTGTGGCAGCCAGGAAGCAGACAAAGAAGGAAGAAACCAGGGAGGGAGATAGGCTTTTCATGCCCAATGACCCACCTCTTCTGACCAAGCCCCATCTTCCAACAAAGCAAATCAGCTTTAGTGTCCCCATAATCCACTTACTTTCCACAAGCCCCTGTTTGAGGGCACAAGGCTTTGGAGAGATACCCCAGATCCAAGCCACAACACCAACAGTGTACTGATAGAGGAATTACTGAACACATTCTCTCTAAACTCAGGAATGAGACAAGGGTGACTCTGGTTCAATATAGTACCCAAAACTTTAGTCAGAGTAATCAGGCAAGAGAAAGGAAAAAAGAGATATGAATAAAAAAGAAGTCACATTATTTTTATTTGTAGATAATATGATCTTTTACATAGAAGACCAAAAAATCACATCAGAAAACTCTTAGAGCTAATAAACAAACTCCACAAATTGGTAGGATAAAGGAATCAACAAAAAAATCAGTAGCATTCCTATAAATCAATAATGAGATCAACAAGAAAACAAGGCCATGCATGTTGGTACATGCCTGTAATCCCAGCACTCAGGAGCCTGAGGCAGGAGGACTACTGTGAGCTTGAAGCCAGCCTGGGTTACATAGTGAGACCTGTCTTAAGAAAAACTCATTCACAATTGATGAAGGACCTCTGTGATTAAAACTACAGTACTTTGAGTAATTAAATGGAAGAAGATACAAAATGGAAAGGTTTCCCGTATTTCTGGATAGGCAGAATCAATATCATTGAAATGGCCATATTACCAAAAATAGTGTAGATTTAATGTAATTGCCATTAAAATACCAAGAACAAGGAGGTAAAGGGAGAGCATGGGAATGGGGAGAAAATAAGAACCAAGGTACATCATGTACAGGTACAAGATCCCAATGATGAATGCAACTGTATTGTATACCTAAAATGTACCAATAAAGTTAATGAAAAAAAAATACCAACAACTTCAGAGAACTAGAAAAGAATCCTAAAATGTGCGTGAAACTAAAAGAGACCCAGAGTAGCCAAAACAATCCTGAGGGAAAGAAAGAGTGAAGTAGGAGGCATCACAGCACCAGATTTCAAATAATACTGTAAAGCTACAATAAAAAAAACAGCATTTTGGTGGTACACAAATAGACATATACTCCAATGGAATAGAATAGACAACAACAACAACAAAAAACTCCATGCACCTTCAGCCATCTGATCTTTGACAAAATTATATACTGGCGAAAATATAATCTCTTTCAAAAATGGTTTTTGGAAACTGGTTATCCACAGACAAGAGAAAATAAACCCATATTTCTAACCTTCAACTAAAATCAAATCAAAATGGATCAAATACCTAAATATAAAAATAGAAATATTGAAACTGCTGGAAGTTAATATAGATGAAGCATTTGAATCCCAAGAAACAGTACTAAGAATCAACAAATGGAATTACATCAAAAAGCTTCTTCACAGCAAAGGAAAAAATCAACAGAGTGAAAAGATAATCTATAGAATGGGAAAAATTCTTACCAGTTACTCTTTTGATAGAGAACTAATATCCAAAATATATAAAGAACTCAAAAATGTAAACCTACCAAAAACAAGCAATCCAATCAAAAAATAAGCAAATGGACTAAATAGGTACTTCTCCCAAAAAAAAGTACAAATAGCCATTAAATGCATGAAAAATACATCTTTAGCCTTTAGATACATGCAAATAAAAACAATTCTGAGATTCCATCTTACTTCATTCATAATGACTATCATCAAGTGTACAGGAAACAACAAATGCTGGTAAGGATGTGGAGAAAAAAGGACACTTCTGCATTGTTGGTGGAAATGTAAATTAGTACAACGACTGTAAAAATCAGTATGAAACTTCCTCAAAAAAGTAAAATATTTAAATTCCATTTGGGCACTTATAGCTTTCCTTGGTATATTACTGAAAGAATTAAAGATATCATACAATTGTGATACATGCATACCCGTGTTTATAACAGCACAACTCACAATATCTAAGCTCTGGACACATGTTAGAATCTCATTAACAGATGAAATGATAATGTAAATTAGCTGTATATACACAGTGGAATTTTATTGAGCCATAAAAAAGAATGAATTCATATCATTTTCAGGAAAATGGATAGATCTGGAGACATAATGTTAAATAAAACAAATCAGACATAGAAAGTTAAATATCACATAATTTCCCTGACATGAGAAACCCAGAATATTAATGAATTGAAGAATAAAACAAAGAAGAGATGGTAAGAAACAGAGAGGCAGATATTTTGGAAATGGGCAAGGGGATCAGGGGAAGGATAAGGAGGAAGGTTATGGAGGTGTGGGGATGGGGATAAAAAATAATCAAGATATGACATATATGTATCAATTGCCAAAATCAAATATAACTATTCAAACATAAAACAATAAAAAAGAAAGTAATAGAAAAATAGGAAATGAACAAAAATGTTTTTAAAATAAAATACAATACTAAAAATCAGGAAAAGGATC